GAGCCAAGGTCTGTTCTTGGTTGAACTGGAGTAAATATGCAATAGCTTGTTGACAATGCGGAGTTACTCCTCTTTTATGTCAGTGTAACCGAGAGCACAATTTTGCCAATTATTAACTTTTGTTACATTATTTGTATTTCTGTGCATGTCAGGATTTGTTAATCTCATTGTTCAACATCAAGTAACCTTTTGCTGAAAACAGAGCGTCATTGTGAATTAGGTATCATCAGCTAAATTGAACCTCACCCTGTGCATTTGACAGATGGTAATACATTCATTAAATGTTCTGTGGTTGCTTTGAGGTTGGAAAGTGCTATTTTTCTGGCTTCTAACTCAGGATTCTTAAGTAAAGTTGTATAAAAGCGTAGTTTTGAAGGGAGAAGGAAAATCACAAAGTGCTCGTGAGGTTTTTTTATTAATATCGTTGTTTACTATTGGGGAGATGACACGGCAGGACTATGATGGCTTTAAGTTGTCTTTGGCTGCATAAGTAGCCCAGAGCGGAGTAGTGAAGGGTGAGAGAGGTGGTTCCAACATGGATTTTGTATACATGCAGCTAGAACTTATTGGAATTTGAAGTTACATTAAATATATCACTGTGGAGGCAATACGATGCTGGTGCCTCTGTGCTTGGTGATTTCACTGTCCAGAAAGGTGGTTCCCATGAGTTCAGACGTTGCAGCTGGTGCAAGGGTAACCTGATGACAGAGCTCCTCTTGCAGAGCTGGTCACATTTGGGATCTCTAAGTCCATACTGAAAGTCTGCAGGGTGGGGAAGCAATTGGAGGTAGAAATTTCAAAAGCAACCGCATTCTCAGGCATAGTTCCACTTGGTGTTGTAATATTGAATCCTCCACCCTGACATTACCAAGACAATGCAAGGCTGAGATTAGACACTTCAGGACAAGTTCTCCACACAGCTGATTTAGGGGTCACCTAAACCAAGGGTAGAAGAGAAGACTCCACTGACTACAGAGGAAGCTCAGAGTGTTTAATTCAAACCCACTCATTTAATTTACTCCCTTCAGGGAAGATTAATCCCACCCATTGACTTGCAATGGAGCCTCAGCTGTTATCAGCAGACCTATTTAGTTATTTAATGATGTTTCCAAGAGGATAAGTTGCCAAGGGAATTAACTGCTTAGCCACTTCTGAAATTCATTGTGGGTAGTACGTTCACAAATGGGGAATTAGTCACTCTTTAGTTAGTCACATCTTTTTAAATGTCTTCATTCAGTCTAGTGCAGTGCTGTGACTGGTATTCACAAGACCCCTGCCCTGGTGAGTGCCCGCTGTCCCCTATTTTCTCAGTGGAGACAATGTATAGAGTCATCCAGATTTTCACAAAATAGCCGTAGTATGGGAGGTTTAGAATTAAATCTTTCTTCTGCTGGATTTGCTCAGTAATATGAACCCAGACAGCTCTTTCCTCAGGAAGAGTCCCAAAACCTTCAGAGCTGTAGGATATTCTGAGGAGGCTACTTCTTGGTCTCTGTTCATGTTTTTTCACCTTTCACGTAATGCTTAAATATCAACCAGATAAGAGAGAAAATGAGAGAGTTAGTTTTTCTGACTTTTACCTGTGGTGTCAGCCTTCAGTCACGATCCACCGAATGTTGAGTTATTTACGGAAAATGAAACAGTTCAACAGGAGAGCCGTACAAATTACCTGATGCTCTGCTGGTGGAGTCTCATCTGGCAGATCTGGGCTGACATCACGTTGAAAAGGCATTTGAAACTCAGTCTTCTACTTTCCAGGAAAATGGTCTCCCTATACCACTGGTAAAATCACAGCACTTCCTCCAAAATTTTTTGTAAGAAATTAAAAACTGACCTGCTTTTGATACCTCTCTCTTCTCGCGGGTCACTGGTGAGTTCAAACATAAGGTGGGTTCTCCCACCCATGCCAGCATTAGACACTTGGCTCTCTCTGAGATGTGGGGCTTAGAAGCCTCTTGCTTCAATATTTTTGAGATTCTTTTACACATCCTCCTGCTTTGAGTGGGGATTTCCCTGAGCACCTTCTCAAGGAACCTAAGACTTCAGATCATGTACATAAATCTGAATGCATCAGGGCACCTAGAAATTAGGATTTGCAACATGGATATTTGCATATGGAATTAAAAAAAAGGCTTGGAAAACATTGACATGCTTTAAAAATCTGACCCTGTGCACCTAAATTCCATTTGAAATGGCAATTTTAGGATGTTAATTCTCTTAGCTTTTCAAAATTCTGTCAGTGTTCAGTTGGAAGAAAGGCAGTTCTCCCTTGTTCACTACTCTTCTATTTTCATGGCTATTCTGAGAGATTTACTAGGATCAGAAGAGTTTTGATTAATTAAATGGGGTCATTGGAGTCACAAGTAGTGGTCCAGTTCTTGACTATCAGGATATGAGATGGTCCTGACCTCGTAGTGATTTCACCAGGAGATCTCGGGATCCTGTGGGTTCCTGCAGAGCCTGTGAATTAGGTCACAGATGCGTTGAACCCTGAACATACGCTTATTTCTGGCCTAAAGCTGTCATATGCAAGTGCCAAGTATGAATTCAGATAGATGTTTTTCCCACTGTCACAAGTAGGCTTCACTCCAGGCATTGTTTTTGAGACAGCCATGACGCACTTTGATATATCAATAAGAGCAAAAAAAAAAAAAAAAAACCCCAACCCTAATAAGTTCCAGAAAAGTTACATAAACATATCCCACCTGATGCTCCTGTCTTCGTACACTCACCTAACTGACCCCCTGGGCTAGCACGAAGCATCTAATGTAGTACTGATGCTGGAAATATTGCACAGATGACTCAGAGAACCGACGATCCTACTGGGTGAAGGGGATACTGGAAAATGCTCAGCGTTAAGCCAGTTCTCTAAAATCTGAATGTGCAAAATTGAATTAGATCACAGTAATTCGATTCCATTGTCTCTAAATGAATTCATTGTAAGAGGACATAGTCTGAGGCTGACCAAGAGAAGGAGAACTATCTATTCAACAGGTGTTATGGGTCAAACAAAAAAGAGATTGCTAAATCTTTTGAGTGTTGCCACATGGGGGTATATTACACGCTATGCAGTTATTACCCTTCAGTAGACGTTGTGCGGTGGAGCACAGCTGCAAACGATTAAAGACACCACTGCCAGCATCTGACAGCAGAATGTCAGTGTCAAAATTCAATTTGAATTGATTAAATAAAGGATGGCAACACTTTTGTTTTATGGATGGCAGCACTTCAGTCACTTTAGATGCTCTGCTTTCAGAAATAAAGCTCTTTCAAATTGTTGGGGTGTTTTCAGTTGGATCGCAGTCATTTCTCCAGTCAATCAATTAAGCCAGGATTTGCCACTGTGTCTAAGAGTCAGCCACAAAAGAGCTGGTATGGTTCCCTGGTGCTTGGCCAAGAGGCTTCAGTGGGAGCAAGACATCAGGCAGCTTAATCTGACTTCCACCACTGGCACAAGGTTTAATGGATGTCAGGGCAGCAGAGAAATCGTGTTCTGTGGTGTTCAGCTCCTGCTCTCTCAATGGCCCTGTACGGGCCGCCTTTCCCTCCGTGCCAAAAACACAGGGGTGGCTGACAGCAGAGCCAGCGGAGCTACCTGTGCCAGCAAGCTGCTCTATGCAGGGCGATCGCTGCCGCCTTTTGAAGCTTGAGCTGTGCTCCATAAGTATTTTTATCTTCATAGGCTTTGTAGTACTATACCGCCCGAGTGACCTGACGCATTGAGTAGTCTCCCCTAAGTTAAATGGCAGTAAGTTACTCAGAGATATAAGATTTTACAGGATTAGGCCTTAAATGCTGACTCCAGGCCAGATCTGCAGCAGGTATAAATCACTGCAGGTAATTTTCACCAGCTGAAATTCTGGCCCTAAGCCCATGAGTCACATTGTTATTTTTCCACATTGTAAATTCTTGCTGTTTCTTATTTATATTGCTTTAGCACTTTGGGGCACTTGTCAGGGGCCAGGACCCCATCATGCTTGTCATCCTTCGAACAGAAATGCAAAAGACCCTTCTTGCCCCAGAGTGTTTGCAGTTTAAATAACATGCAAACCTGCGTATAGTCATTCAGCTTTCTGTAAGTGCATTATTGCAATCAAGTTTTTCTATTACCCTGCTGGTAAAGCATAAGAAGACAAAGTCTGTGCCCAGGTTGATATTTTTAAGTTAAAAATTTGCACTCTGCTGATATTATGTCTAATTGGCCTTTTAAGCCTAGAATTTGTTGGAGCCAGCGGTAGTGGGGAACATGGTCTTTAGTAATTGCAGCGAGAGGTCCAAAGTCTCTCCATTGTGACACCCCATTTGAGACATACGAAAAATAGAATTTGCACCCAAGTTGAACCTGAAGTGAGGGGAATCTTAACAGTGGCTGAATACCTCATCTCTTTTGTGTAACATTTTATTTTATTATTGTTATATTACTTTCATTTCAGTTGTAGTGTATCTTCCAGCTCCGTAGAGCTCTGCTTAGCATCACTGGAATTATTGCTATTGCCTTTAATTACTCTGGAAGGGGTTTAAAAGCAGTAGAACTACAACTTTTTAGAGCTGAAGTAATGCCAGAAAATTCCCCTTCATTACAGTCCTACCTGGCTGCTTAGAAAAATAATGTAGTGGCATACAGATCTCCAATTTACTGTGTGATGGCCTCAACAGACCAGAAGAATATCATAGGGTGAATGTGTTTTATTGGTATATCATACTGACAAGGTGTTCTTTCCTTCCATGAGCTCTTTCACTGGATTTTTTTTGCTGGTCAGGAGAAGACATGGCGCAACAGTTTCCTGTGTCCGCTTTTTCCATTGCGGGATGAGCTTTACCCTCAGGCAGACCTTGCTGGGCTACTTTGTCATCAGATTGTGTAGGCATTGGAGCACAAATTAACAGCAAAGAAATGGTTCTTGGCTTTTTTTCTAGATACTACCATAGCCATTTACGATGAGTGTTTCTAAATAATTCTTACTCTGCCCTGATCACTTATTCATTGCTTTTTGGCAAAGCCCTTGAAAGAGGCTTGGTGAAGGCTCTGAAGAAGCTGGATGACTATCTGAGAACCCCTCTGTCAGAGGAGATTGATGCAGACAGCACTGAAGAGGAGAAAGTGTCTAAACGCAAGTTTCTGGATGGAGATGACCTGACTCTTGCTGACTGCAACCTTCTGCCCAAACTCCATGTTGTCAAGGTAAAAGATGTCATGCGATGGTCAAAGCAGCCTTATCCGACAGTGAAGTGCCCAGCTCCAATAGCTGAATGCTAAAGCCGACATGTTTTTCAGCACAGATATCTTAAGTCCTTGAAGAGCAGAGTTTGAAATGCACTTCTGTTCCTCAGTATTTCCTATAGATTAACTTAAGTAACTTTGTGTTTAGTACATGGGGAAATTGTCCCATCACCAGTTAGTGGCAAAGACTAAGATCTAGGTACCCTGTCTTTTTATTTTTACCCTGCTGCGAGTAACAGTAGTCTTTCATATTAATTAGTTCCCATTATTCTTAAGAGAGATGTCAAAACTTTAGTCAGTTCCCACCCATTTGTAACTTAAGAGCAGCAGTCCGTCGTTTTGGGGAATATTTGTTCCAGCTGGTATTTCACACAGAAAAGTTAACAAATCAAAGTCACCGCTGAGGTCCAGGATTAAAGATGTACAATGGTCGCTGGTATAGTGCAAATGGTGTACATCATCTTGACTTCTAAATGTTGCATTTATTTAATTTATCAGATTACATGTTTCTTTAGAATAAAGCAAGTACCTGGCAGACCTTGGCAAGCAAGAAAGCTAGGAATTAAAGCCAAGTCATGCATCTAATTTGGCTCCATGAGCCAAAACATAAACTGAGCCTGGGAGCTGACTGCACACATGCAAAAAGAAAAAAAAAAAGTAAAAAAAACGTGCATAAGTCACCAGGTAAGAAATGTGATAATATCCTCACAGGTTTAGCTCTTTCTTTGGCTCGTCTTCATTGGTGACGTTGGAGTTAGACAATGCAAAATGAATGTGTGGCCCCCCTGTGGTTCCTGTCTCCTTGGGACGAAATGAAAGATGTCAAAAGAGAATTAAAATCTTTCTCAGACAAGCATAGCCATACGATATTGCCTGAAAAGCATTTTACAGATGGAAGAAAAGGGTAAACTATTTTTCCATTTGATGGAAGATGTGTGCTGGAAATTGTGAAAATCTTGACTTGAGTTGCCCAGCAGGTTTTATCTTCCCCATGTGTGTGTGAAGCATCACTGAAGGCAAGCATGCTTAATTAAATGCAGTTTAGGACAGGATTTGGACTTGCATACACGAAGTGGATCCTGGTAATAAAAACAAATCAAAGTCATTTCTGAGAATATGACTGTCCTAAGAAATCTGAGATGGAAAACAGCTCTACCACGTGCTTTAAAAATAAAGGGGAACACTGTGGCACATATGTATGTAATTTATGCCCAGGAACAATTTTATACTGTCAGAAAAATTAGAGATTGGAAGCATTCATTAAATCAGCTAATCCATCCCTTCCTATCAGCTAGTTCATTCTGTCACCACAAGATTATTCTATATGGTATATTCTTACAGGAAAACTGAAATATCCCAATCCAGCAAGCTACTTAACCAACCAACTAGCTTTAAGCACAGATTAGTCCCATTGACTTCAATGGGACTATACAGGTGCTTAAAATTAAGTATGCACTTAACTGTTTTCCTGAATAAGGGCCTGAGTGTTTTTAGAAATCGAAAATTTCCCTTGATAGACAATTTCCTAGTCTAACAAGTCTTGAAATAACCATTTTCTCCCCCAGTTTATCCTAATACTCCTGTTTCTAATGTCTGCTAAATCATCCTGGTCTCTCAATCATGGTACCCATACCACCCTGAATTTTTCCTTTGCGTGAACACGGATACAGCCTTCCAACAGCTGTAGGTGGTTACATCCTCTGACACCATTGGCCAGGCAAAATATATTACATATATGTTAAATATATATTATGTTAAATATAAATATA